GAGGAAAGGTCACATTGCAATTCCTTCTCCTCTATTCTCCTCTGGGGATTTTGGGTGTGCATGCACATGCTCCTGGTGTGATTTTTAAGTTGCTGGGTCTGGAACTCAAAACTGCGGTTAGCCCTGTGGGAGTCCAGTGTCTTAACCACTATACCACCTGCCGGTCTTCTGCTTAAAATATTCTTGTACCAAGTTGAATCTCTCTTTTCTCTCAATCTATTTCTTCTTCTTTTCAATCTTGATATCTGGCTCCTGTATTCACATACTCACAGCCTGAAAAACTGAGAGTTATCCTAGCTTCCTCTTGTTCCTCCAAATGCCCTTCACATATCCAATCAGTGTCCGAGTCTGATTGATTCCATTTCTTTAGTATGTTCATTAAGTACTAAATAATCTTGTTTATATCGACAATTTATGTTTTGGCCTTTTCTGTCTGTACTCATTACCCCCAGCACTTTGCATCTTGACCATTGCAATAGTATCTTAACTAGTCTCCCTATCTTCACCCTGAAGTTGTTTCATTTCCCTAGGAAAACTTCTCTGGCCAGCAGATGGTGTGGAGGTTAAGGTGGCTGGATCTCACATGGCCAACTTTGTGGTTGGAGTCCTGGGCCCAGCTGCTTGAAAATCACACTGGGCGCATGTGCATGCATGCCATACTCCTGAGAGGAGACTGGAGCAGAATGGATTGCAGCATGACCATCCCCTTGGAGTTATTTCTCACTTTTCCTCTCTTTCTCTCTCTCTCTGGCAAACATATGTGACCTATACCAAACCAAACCAAACCAAATCAAAACACACACTGTCATCCCCAAACTTCTGGGGTGACTTTTCATTGAAGATATAGTCAATGGAAATTCAGACTCCACTTCCTAGGGTCTGTACTCTTCATGATCTGATGGCAGCCTGCCTTTGTGCCTTCTTTCCTTCAACATCTCCTCTCCTGTTCACCTGGTTTCGTGCTGTCGTGAAGCTTTTCTTGAGCTGCCAATGGCGGAACCCTTTACAATTCCCCGTGCATAGGTAGAATTGCTCATGCCTCCATCCACGCCCATGTTTCCTCATGGGTTTCCAACAAGGCTTCCATAACCTCTTATTGAACGTGTTTGTTTACATGTATTACTTATCCCATGTTGTCAGCATCTCATAATGGCATTTGTGAGTATCGTTTTGTATAAATATCATTATCATTAGATATTTGCTGTCATTTGAATGCATCCCTCCAAAATTCTTGTGCTAAATTAGTGAGTCATTGTAATAGTGTCGAGAAGGTGGAGACTAATCTGATTATGGTGTTGAAAAGCGTGACTTTTGGGAAGTGGTGAGGAACCAGGGTGGGCCCCCATGATTGAGCTGTGGCAGGTTTATATGGAGAGAGGATGAGACAATGACACACGTATGAACACATTCCGCTCTGCTCAAGCTCCTGCCCTTGCCGTGTTATCTGTCAGCAAGAAGACCCTAACCAGATGTGGTTCCTGGATCTCGGTCATCCAAACTGGGAGCTTAATAACTACCTAATTTTTTTAATTATCCAAGTCCCAGGACAGGAACTCAAAGGCTTTCCCACATGGACCCGGTGGTATCACCACTGTACCCCTGCCTGGTCCTCATCCTAATCAATCTGCATCTAATCAACAAGCATAGGGGCTAGACAAGTATTTATTGACCAAAAGAATATCTTAGTTTATATCTTTTGTTTTTCTTTGGGGTTAGGTGAAGTGCCTGAATAATTCCAATTGAACCTTTAAGATTTTCTTTCAAGAGACTTTTGCTGTAGGGTGCACGCGCTCGCTTGAGAGACAGAGAGAAACAGAGAGACAGAAGCGAGAAATCACTCTTCAGGGGAGATGGCCACACCACAATCCCTTCTCCTCCATTATCCTCTTGGGCACACACACACACACACACACACACACACACCAGGCATGAGTTTGAAGCCACCAAGTCCGGGACATGAATCATGTTCGATTGTGTGGGAGTCAAGTGACATAACCATTATGCCATCTGCTGGTCCCAAGATTTAAGAAAATTTAAACCTTGGCATTTTAAGTGACTTTATCTTAGGTATTTGATTTTAAACAGAATTAACCTAAAGGCATATCAGTTGCTGGAGAGTAAAAGATAAGGATCTTCTAATTGAGATCTCACTCTGATAGTGAAACTGACCCTTTCAAAGGGATTAAGTTGTTTCTCTGCTTGGGTTTCTCTAGTAGGGAAACAGACCTTGTAATTCTTATCTACAACGTTTGCCAGGAACTGTTGTATCTGCTATTCTTATTACTAGCATATCTTTTTAAAAATAATAGATTCAGTTCTATCAGTTAGAAATGGTAAAACTACGTTACAAAACCTATTTATAAATTCATAAAAATGAATTAACTATTAACATTTACATGATAAAAAAATAAAAAAAATTATAACCTCCTGTAGCATTTTATGCTACATTTGGAAATACTTAACCTACAATTTGCTAAATGTTCCACAATGTTCTTTATCCATCTGATTTTTATGAATGATAGCTTCTTCCAGGATAGTTGGCCCGGGATCATGAGCATAGGTGCTTGGTGGATGTGAGCCGGGAACCTTCTCATGTTGGTCAGATTTGCAGAGTATCATGTTTTACTGCTGTGACACCATCCAATCCCTGGCATCTGTATTTTTTTTGCGGGGGTGGGGGGGAGAGGTTTCCGCTATAGGGCGCGTGCGCTCGCCAGAAAGACAGAGAGAGACAGAGAGACAGAAAGCGAGAAATCACCCCCCAGAGGGGATGGTCACGCCACAATCCCTTCTCCTCCATTCTCCTCTCGGGATCTTGGGCACGCACGCACACGCACCCGGCGTGAGTTTTAAGCCACCGGGTCCGGGATGCAAACCACGGTCGACTATGTGGGAGTCCAGCGACATAGCCATTACGCTAACTGCTGGTTCCCTGGCATCTGTATTTTTAAAGAACTCTCCAGCACTCTTCAAAACGTCGAGGTCATCATGAATACGAAAAGTCTGAAAAGTTATCAGGCCAGAGGAAGGGAAGGAGCCATGATGACTAAATGTAATGTGAGACCCTAAGTAGGATTCTGGAGTAGTAAAAGCATATGGGAGCAAACTACTAGATATTCAAACAAACTGTGATGTTTAGTTAATAGTAATGGAAGTATTGGTCATTCGCTGCCACCAATACACCATGGTAATGTAGGATGTTAGTAATAGGGGAGACTGGGTGAGGGGCACATGAAAACTCTCTGTATTATCTTTGTGACTTTCATGTAAGTGTAAAACTATTGAAATAAGTTTATTTTAGGGGGCCAGCAGGTGGCCCTGGGCTTCCACATGGCCGACTGCAGTTTGAGTCCTGGACCTGGTGGCTTGAAACTCACATTGGGCGGTATGTGTGTATGCCTAAAATCCCTAGATGAGAATGGAGGAGAAGGGATTGTGGTGTGGCCATCTCCCTGAGGGGTGATTTCTCACTTTCTGTCTCTCTTTCTCTCTTGGTGACTCTAGTGAGTGCATGGACCCTATAGCAAAAATCTCTCTTAAAAAAAGTTTATTTTAAAATGCAGTTCAGTAGGAGCCAGGGTTGAGAACTACATATTTAAATGTCTGCCTATGTTCTTTGAGAAAACAATTGAGCTCAATTGCCAATTCTAGCGTGTGAGTTCCTAAAAATCCAATTCCTAGAAATAATGGGCTGCTGCCCTGTGACTTTTGACAGATTATACTTCAAAAGATACTTCCAAATGGACTAATTGCAATAAATGTAAATGTAATGATTATAGTCCTGATAATCAGTCATTTCCAAGATACAAAAGTTGAAGAAAGACTGCTCAGTAAAGGAGGAAAAGAACTGATCACAACCCATTTCTTAGTTTAGATATGTGTCATTTTGATGTCTATGAAAGATATAAATACCCGATTAAATATAGTATCTGCATTATGGTACCCTACTGGTTTGGGAAAATGCAAGTGATTTGTCTTTGCTAAGAACTGTTGTCAGGTCTTTCTTTTATCTGTAGAGATAAAGGAGATTTAGACCTGATCAGAAAGTTCTGGAGTATTGTTTTTATTTATTTATTTATTTATTCATTTTAATTTATAACTCTTTCCATTGTGGTAGAACAGAGGAAAGTAAAAAAAGATTTCTTCTAGTCTACTTGGGTGTAGCCGGGTCACACGTCTCTCCCTTCCTGACCATCACGGTTAAAGGTGTTTGTCATCTGTGTGACTCTCTAGAGGAAAGTTAACTTGTGCCTGAAGAAATCACTCTACACGAGCAAACATTTCACAAACAGCCCGTGCCTAGAGATGATTTTTCCAAGGCTTTTAAAAAATGTTTTGCATGCATTGTTTTCTTTGGTAAAAATGTCACGATGTATAAATCAGGGTTTCTGTGTATCGTCTAACTAACAAATAATAGTAACAGCCTGGAATCACTCAAGGGGGTAAATTAGGAATGGTAAATCATTCTTCCTGGCCTAACAGTTTCCCACGTGTGAAATGAGCGCTCGCTTTTCGGGACACTGCGATTAGGTGAGAAGGAGCTCAAGAAACAGACGGCAGAGTTTTAGGATTTAGGACTTCGGAGCCTGATGAACGGGGTGGTACTGAAGCTGTCCACGTGTTTTAGAATCGGAAAGGTTAAGTGCAGAGAGGCAGGAATGAGGGAAGGGCAAGAGAGCGACTGACACCAGACGGAGGCTCGGCTCCCAGGGCCTTTCCTGATTGGCGGAGCTGGCCGGCGTTCGGTTGCTAGGCAACTGCTCCTATCGGGAGGCCGAAGGACCCAGGTGGAAGTGTCTAAGTCATTACCTCTTTGTTTAGCCACAGTGCCTTCTTTTCGAAATAAATGAAATTTGTAGCTGTTAGCACGACACCTTTTTGGCAGCCCAAATTTGGCAAACTCCAGAGCTGAGTTCTGCTCGCGGTAAAGTTTTCTGTTTCCTGCTTTCAGGCGCAGTGCGGGCACCTCTGAGGAGGCCCCAGCGCCCCGGGTTACAGGACCGAGCGGCGGCGCCAGGCTCCCGGCTCCCCGCCCACCGCCCACTGCCCTCCCTGGATCCTGCTCCGGTCCTTCGCGGGCGGAGCTGGACCGCCATGGGCTCGGAGATGGAGCCGCTGCTCCTGGCCTGGAGCTATTTTAGGCGCAGGAAGTTCCAGCTCTGCGCCGATCTTTGCACGCAGATGCTGGAGAAGTCCCCTTATGACCAGGTACCGGTCGGACCCCGGCAGCCGGTGCATCCCCGAGCTGAGGCTGAGAGCTCTGTGGGATCCCCCTGCCCCCGGGTGGGGAGTTCAGGAAGGAAGGCCTTAGGCGGGCTGACCGTAGGGCCCGCAGTGACAACTGGAGTGAGACCCAGTGGACCCGTGAATGGAGGGGCCCAGCCTGTTGCATCCTCAGGGATCTTGAGTTCTGTGTCGTGACCACCCCCTCCTCAAATTTAGAGCCCTGCTTTTTACTTTGGTGAAGAACTTTGATTAATTCATTTGTACTTGCATATGGATGGGCTTTTGAACTCTCCGTGTGCATTCCAAATTAAAACAAAACAAAACTGCGTGTAAGCCAAGATTGTGAATCTCCACTCTTAAATATAGCTACCTTTTTTTTTCCTTTTGCATCAAACACGTGATCCTCCCACTTCACCTTTGGCGGGTTATCCAAGACTGGTAGAGCCTTTGATTCTGGAACCACGAATACAGCTGGAGGCGAATATGCGAGTTAGAGAAATGGGAATCTAGACCGAGAAAAGATTATTACTAAAGAAATTACTTGGACAAGGGAAGCTATAATTGTAGGAGAGGGGGTAGGGAAGAAAGTCACCTAAAAGTAGAATGGCCTTGATTAAAAGAGAACCTAAAGAAACCTCAGGATTATTTTGTATAGTGAGTGAGAAAGGTAGTATATTGTGTTCAGGAGAGGTGTAACTGTGATGGGCTGGGAGCTTCTGGAAGAGGCAAAAAAATGAGAAAATAGGAAACTAGGCCTAGAGCCATGGCAGTTTCTTGGCGCTTCTAGTAGATGCAGAAGTAGATGCACTAAACTATGTGGTTTAGTTCCCCAGCTTTTCCTCTAGCAATGTTGCCTTGTAGATATTAGAAAAAAGGAACACTGATGGGAGTTACAAAAGCAAAGGCCTGAGTGTGAACACTTTCTGGGCTCCGCAGTGGTTTCCAGTAAACGAATAGACAGTAACCTGTGGAGGTGAACCCTCTCCCCTAGGACAACCACCTTAGTGATCATGCTAAACTGGATTGTGTTCAAGTTAGTTCTTATTAGTTAATGGGACTATGTTTGTGTAATCAAGCTTTTTTCCAAGTGTGTGTCTTGGCACAGTAATTCTTTAGATGTTGCTTAAAAATAAAAGATTCCACAATCAAATACGTTTGGGAACCATCACTCCCTTTATAACTGAAGCTTGTTAAAGACCTTTGATGTACCAGACGTTGTTCTAGGCACCGTAGTTTGTAAGAACTTTCACTTTTTTTGGTTTGCTGTTTCCATTTTTCCATTGAATTAGAGTAGTTTCCATTCTGTTTCACAGAGCACTGGTCCCAGGAGCTGCTCAGTGAGAAAGTTTCCTCATGAAATTCATTTGGGAAATGTCTATTCCCTCCTTAGAGATTCTAGATGCATACTGAAAGTTCTGAGTAGTGTTGAAGAAAAAAAAAAACCTTAATGTTGCCTAATTTTGCTTAATCTAATAGTTCTTAAATTTATTTGACCACCGGTTCCTTCCTTTGGCCAGGCAAGGGTCAACTATCTTTAGTGTTACCATGCTGGGGAGAGGTCCCATTGGGACAGTTAGTGCTCAGTAGGACACCGGTCAATTGCAATTCAGTAGTTTGTGTGTGGCTCAGTCACTGGAACTTTTTTAAAAAATCAAGACTGTGTTCATTTCAATGATCTTTTATTGATACTGCTTTGCCATTCATAAATCCTGTGCTATGTATTTCTAATGCTTATGATAACCTTGCAAAGTGGATAAAAAATAATGGGTAACATTTATCAAGTGTTTACTATGTGTCAGGCTTGGTTCAGAGGGTTTTATGTTATCTCATTTTATCCTCAGCTCTTTTCGAGTTGGTCCTGTGTTCCCTGTTTTACAGATGAAGCACACATACGTGGCAAAGTTGTTCAGAGTTAGGAAGCTAGTGAGCCCACCCTTTGTCTACACTGTGTTCCCTCTTCAGCTTTTATGTAGCCTAATTTTTCAAAGCAGTGGGTTTATGAACTTTTCCGAGTACTGTAGGAATACTTTGTATTTATGTTCTTTTTAAGATGTTAGACAAGTGTTGGGAACCAGCAGTTAGCGTAATGGCTTTGTCGCTGGACTCCCAGGTAGTCAACCACGGTTCGCGTTCCGGACTCGGTGGCTTAAAACTCAAGCCGGGCGCGTGTGCGTGTGTGCCCAAGATCCCGAGAGGAGAATGGAGGAAAAGCGATTGCAGCGTGACCATCCCCCCCGGGGGGTGATTTCTCGCTTTCTGTCTGTATGTCTCTCTCTGTCTGGCGAGTGCACACGCCCTATAGCGAAAAAAAAAAAAAGAATGTTAGACAAGTGTTGACGAATTTTAGCACCTGTGTTCATCTGGAGACTGAGAAGTCTGAAGGAAAGAACCTTGCCTGATTTTGATTAATCCAGTAGTTCTGAAACCTGTTTGGTTACTGACTCCTTTTTTGAGGGACAGGGGGACAAATATCTCTCTTGTTATCCTGGGGAGATGTCATTTCATTTTGGGAAATGAATAGGCAAAGCAGCAATGCTTTTTATTTAATTTCTAAACATTAATTACTTTTTTTTAAAAAGTTTTTTTTTTTGCCATTGGATGCATGAGCTCTCTGGAGAGAGATGGAGAGAGAGAGAGAGAGAGAGAGAGAGACAGGGAAAATGAGAAATCACTCCTAGAAAGGGTAACCATGCCATCGTATCTTCTGCCGCATTCTCCTCTTGAGATTTGGGGCATGCACACATATGTTACCAGCATGATTTTCATGCCTCCTGGTCTGAGACTCAAACTGTAGTCAGCCATGTCGATATCCTGTGCCTCAACCACCATGCCACCTACTGGTCCCAGCAGCCATGCTTTTATTTATGATTAAGAGGGGACTATAGAGAAGGTTTTTGACTCCTTTTACCTAGGAAAATAAGATAAACGAATTAAGTTCTTATGTTTAAAACCTCTTGTATTAGCAGCTAACAAGGTAAGAACTTGGATCTCTTGATTTGGCCTCTTAGCTCCTATGAGGCCTTCGTGGCACAACTGAAATATTAAGACAAGGTATATTTGCTGAAGCTGTGATGTTTGATAGTAAAAATGAAGAAAAAAGACACGGGGTCATACTGAGAAATACTGCCATTGTCATTGTTAACTTTTGACACCATTAAGATCATTATGGCAGTCGGTCTTGACCTATTCTACTGTTCTATTGGTTGTAGATTCGAATGCTTTATAATGTGATGCATAATTTCTAATACAATGTAAGTTTTTTTTTCAATTTTTAATGTTATTCTTTATTATTGTTATGAGCAAGGGTTGATAGAGTCAGATCCAAAAAATAATCAGAGTAGGACTAGGAGAATCACTTTATCAGATCTAGAAAAAACTTTGATACTCCTATTCTTTGCTGTTCTTTTGTTTGTTTTTTAAATTTTTTTTACAAGAATTATTTTATTTAACTTTATTTATTTAAATTTGACCAGAGAGACAGAGTGAGAGAGAGGGAGAAGTAAGGAGAGAAAGCAAGATGCCAGATCTGGGACTCAAACTGTGGTCAGCCTTGTGGGAGTCCAACACCCTTAACCACCGCACGACCTGCATGCCCCCTTTTTATTTGTTTTGATATGATAGTTTATTTATGGATGACCCATATGTATTGCCAGAATAATGAGTAGCATTTTTCAGGAATAAAAGTCTAGTTTTGAATGCTATGTTACTAAAGTAGGCTTTCAATATCTACATAGGGCTATTGATAAATTTAGATGTTCACTCATGTTAGTTATTCTTTTTTTTTTTTTTTTTTTTTGGAGAGGTTTTTTGCTATAGGGCGCGTGCACTCGCCAGACAGAGAGAGACATAGACACAGAAAGCGAGAAATCACCCCCCAGGGGGGATGGTCACGCCGCAATCCCTTCTCCTCCATTCTCCTCTCGGGATCTTGGGCACGCACGCACACGTGCCCGGCATGAGTTTTAAGCCACCGGGTCCGGGACGCGAACCGCGGTCGACTACATGGGAGTCCAGCGACATAGCCATTACGCTAACTGCTGGTTCCCACTCATGTTATTCTTTGACCCAACTTTAAACACTGTGCTATTGTCTCTGAATGATTTTCTTTTTTATTTATTTATTTTCTGTTTAATTTTTCTTTGAGAGTTTTTTTTTTTTTTTTTTTGCTATAGGGCACGTGTGCTCGCCAGACAACAGAGAGACAGAAAACGAGAAATCACCCCCATGGGGGATGGCCACTCCACAATCCCTTCTCCTCCGTTCTCCTCTCGGGATCTTGGGCATGCATGCACATGCGCTCGGCGTGTTTTAAGCCACCGGGTCCGGGACGCAAACTGCGGTCGACTATGTGGGAGTCCAGCGACATAGCCATTACGCTAAATGCTGGTCCCCTGAATGATTTTCTTAACAGCTGTTTATGTAATTTATTCCCAGTTATCATTGGGAAGTATTTTCCAGTATGACTTTTTGCTAGTTTGAATAAATCCTGCCTTTTTCTTAATTAATTAAAAAAATATTTATATTAGAATGTTGTTGTGATTAACAAAGAGCTCTAAGAAGCTTAAGGAAGTTCCTTTGATTAAAAGTGGACTCTGGATGGCACGTTTGAATGGCATTCTTAGAACCCGGCACAGAGTCTGGCATACAGGGGCACTCGTTATATCAATAGTTTTGCTGAATGTTTGTGCTGGTCATATTCACTTGTGTATTTTGATGGAGTTATTCCGATGTGCCAACTTTCTTTCTGTTTATGAAGGTCACCCTAGTTGCTTGATGATCTTCATCTTCCTCTGTCCCTCATCCTTAATTCTCAGCACCCGGGATTCTTAAATGAACATTTAGCTTTTTAAATAAATACTTTGCTTTTACCTAGAATAATAGGATAAACGAATTAAGTACAGAATCTTAAATGCAGATCCTATGCGAAGATGAAATAGTAATAGAGGTAAACTTATGTAATTCATAATTCATTCCTTGTTTTG